CATTAACGACACAACGGCCATCTGAGCAGGGAACACTGATAGAGGCTTTTTTCCCACTTTTCAATAAGATATTAACTCACCAATCTCTTTACAATTTATTATACACAGTTCAAACAGAGTTGAAACAGGCAGGCACCTACAGGAAAGGTGGTCATTTCTAAAGGGGGTAAATTATATAAGAGCCTGAATGGTTAAATGGAAGGAAGGATTGGCAGAGATACTGCAGCCCCACAACACCGAGCGCCAGCCATCGGTTCGGTCAGACGGAGGATGCTGAGACAATAGCCATGAGGAAGTGTTGGTACGCAGATAAGACCTGTGTGTGTGTGTGTGTGTGTGTGTGTGTGCGACTTTCAGGGTCTGGAGCGCACAAACTGCGACTGTGGCAGGCTTTCTGCTGTAGCCTTCTTACTCCCTATCGCTAGCATGAATACTGTTTGTGCAGGTGTTTTTTTTTCTGTCTGTTAAAAGTCAACCAACATGCAGACAAAACAGCATCAGGATCAATGCAACCACGAGGAATAAAAACAGGCCGACCAGTCAGAGTATCCCAATATTCAGATGTACAGGACTGTCTCAGAAAATTGGAATATGGTGATAAAGTTCTTTATTTTCTGTAATGCAAGTAAAAATCATGAAATGTCATACATTCTGGATTCATTACAAATCAACTGAAATATCGCAAGCCTTTTATTGTTTTAATATTGCTGATTATGGCTTACAGCTTAAGAAACCCAAATATCCTATCTCAAAATATTAGAATATCGGATTTTTTAGTTTTCTTCAGCTGTACGCCATAATCAGCGATATTAAAACAATAAAAGGCTTGCGATATTTCAGTTGATTTGTAATGAATCCAGAATGTATGACATTTCATGTTTTTTAATTGCATTACAGAAAATAAAGAACTTTATCACAATATTCTAATTTTCTGAGACAGTCCTGTAGCTCTGCTAATTAGGGGGCTAAAAGCTGTGTATCTGCTACAGGTTTCACTGGTTTGCTGCTTTTGTTTAGTTTGTACTATGGTCCACTTTTAACTCCTGGACTTATCCAGGCGTCAGTTAGACAACGCCCAAAATGTCCCACCTTCATTTGGTTTAGGTTCTCTTTGAAAAGTGGATCAAACTACCCAGATGACGTGCAGTTAAAAGAGCCGCTGGTCCAAACACAAAAAAAGGCATTAGAAAGAAGAAAAAACAGCTCTTTGACTGGCCAACAGCAGAAACAGAAAGCCATTTCCAACAGGGAATATATAGTTTGGTGGGCACTGGGTTCAGGAGAGCTGTCACGCCTGCCCTATGCACCTGACTAGCGACTTTTCCACTCGTACAGACTCAGTACAGCCTTACAAGGATATTTAGCATCTCCACCAAAGGCCGGCCTGACTGAACAGATACAGCTTCAGAACCTATTTGGCCGGAGTTCAATCAGGGCTGAGCAGAAATTGGTCAGGGAGTCACACTGTCTGTGGCCCACGGAAACTAAGAGAAAGTGTCACCTTGACACTCTCTCTTTAGAACCTGAGTATCCGGTTAGAGATCTCGGGGGTAATACTGGACTGAGACCTGAACTACAGCAGCTGCACTAAATCAATACCATCAGCAGCCTTTTGCCATCTAAAAAACATCCAGAATCAGAGGAATAGAGTCTAAACCAGACCTAGTAAGACTAGTCCAGGCATTAGTCTCTATCTGGTTAGACAACTGTATTGTTTTATTTAGTGTAAATCATTTTTCATTTCTGCTTTTAGACTCTTCCATTTGATGTAAAGCACTTTGAATTGTCCTGTAAACAGAACGTGCTATGCAAATAAATTTGCTTTGCCTTTGGAGCCGTCCAGGGACAAACAATGTTGGGCTGATTAAGTACTAAAAGAAAAGACAAAAAGCCACCGTAGTTTGAGTCAAACCGTACCAGAGTGAGATCCCCCCAAAGCAGCAGAGGGGAGTGATTAGTTTCCAACTGTATTTAAAAAGTAAATTAACAGTAAAGCTCAGTCATCATGTACCCTGG